TCCCTTTCTCTTTCTTCTGGTGGTCGACTGGATTATGAGGACCTTGACATCGGAGGGAAAGCACGGAATACAATGGACAGGTTTGATAATACTAGACGATTTGAACTTCTTAGATGACGTGGCCCCTTTACCCCATACACATCAACAAATGCAGATCAAGACAACCAGTGTAGCATCAACCTCTGCATCAGCAGGCTTCAACATACATAAGGGAAAAGTAAAATCCTGGAATACAACACGGAGAACACCAACTCAGTCACACTTGATGGAGAAACTCTGGAAGAGTTGGAAAGTTTCACGTACCTGGACAATGTCATCGATGAACAAAGATAATCCGATGCAGACTTAAAGACTAGAATTGGTAAAGTAAGGACAGCATTCCTGTAGTTGAACAATTTATGGAACCCGAAACAACTGTCTGCACGCCAACATCAAAGTTAGAGCCTTCAATATGAACGTTGAGACAGTTAGTTTTATTGTACGGAGCTGAAACGTGGAGAACTACCACAACCATCATAAAAAATCTATAAGTATTTATAAACAGATGTCTATGAAAAATACTCAATGTCCGTTGACCAGATACCATCAGCAACAGATTACTGTGGAAGAGAACAAACCAACTTCCAACTGAAGAGGAAATTAAGAAAAGACGTCGGAAGTGGATAGAGAATACATTATGGAAATCACCTAACTGCATCTCGAGGCAAGCACTAACCTGGAATCTTGAAGGGAAACGTAAGAGGAAGGCCAAAGAACAAATCATATCGAAAACTGGGAACAGACATGAAAATGATGAATAACAACTGGAAAGGATTTTCCAAGACAAAGTTGGATGGAGTATGCTGGTGAGCGGCCTATGTTCCTTCACAATGGGTAATAGATTGATTAGAATATATAAGATCAATGCACTGATGCCCAACAAAATGTGTCTTTTGGTCTATGTGTATGTCAACAAAATTTCTATCAACAAAAGTGAAATTCATGAGTTGATCTAAGCTAGATAACCACTGAAAACCTAGAAACACTAGATGGCCATTTCATCCTAGTATAGGACTCCTCAGCAGTACGCATCTACGATCCCGCATTCTGGACATAAACCCATGAATAAGGTTAGACATTAAAACCGTCGGATGCCGACTCAGTGGTCTGGAGGTTAATCGTTCGCGCGTGAGGTCGAATATCCCGGGTTAGAGTCCTACGTGAGAGAATGTGGATGCGCACTATACTAGGATGAAACGGCTATCCAATGCTTTAAGGTTTTCAATGGTGATCTAGCTTAGATTGGTTCATAAATTCAACTGTTAAGATTTCAACAATCTCGACTAATTAATGTTCTGAAAAGTGAAATTTATCTTTTTGTGTACATTGTATTTGTTAAGTGTTTATTAATTCCATCCAATTACATACCTTTAAATAATAATAAAACTATTCATGATACGACATGCGCAAATAAAAGAAAAAAAATTGTGTAAATCTTTCATTTTTCAATTAATTGGCAAAAGAATAGTAAGTTTTATGAGAAAATTATGTGGAATTTTGTGTTTGCATCAAATTAAACAATATTGTCTCTCATATATATGTAACTCAAAGAATTAATTCACTAATAACGTCTGGTACATCATTAAAATACACAAATAAAGCTTTTAAAAAAAATCGACATACAATGAATAGATGTATGTATGTGTGTATGTTTGAATTCATGTATGTATGTAAGTACTTCATATTCATATAGGTATATGTGATAATAGTTTCTTCTCCATACTCTGTCTGCAGGAGGTTAGAATATCTCATAAATAATGATTGTTTTTTTATTAAGTATAATTGTGAATTAACTTATAAACAAGTTTTATCCGTATGTATACGTTTCCTTTTTTTAATTCAAACTCTCAATAGTTTTTTAATTGAATATTAAGTATAACAACTACAGTTAATTTTATCATTGATGAGAACGAGAAAAATGACTCATTACTGTTTCATGATCTCATTGTAGGGATTTACTAGTATTCCCTTACATATCATGTTAGAATTAGGATATAAATACATCCAAACATGTTTTCTATTTATCATTGCATTCACTATCTACATTTACTTACACATCAATGCTTTTACAAAATCAACAAACTGTAGCTATCAATGGACAAGCGTTTCGTCATACTTGAGACTCACTGGCTGGATGCACCAGCATATTGAGATTCAAACTAACTATCTTACACAGGAGCCTTTGGAGATTTATCCAGCTAACGAGTCTCATATAGGATGAGACGAGCGTCTCGGTTACCAATTTTAGTTACATCCCATCTATTTTCTAAAGACATGACCATATAAATTTAATTCTCACAGGATGTACACATATCAACTATGATTGATGGAAATTCGGTTGAGATATCGGCAGTCAGTCAGTCAGTCAGCTGCAACGTAGGACCAGGCACGTATATGCATCGGTCCAAGTTGCCATACCGCATTAGCACAACAAGATGAACACCGGATTCATAGAAGTAGTTAATTCAGTGGTGGTAATATATAGAAGAAAGATTGTGTATAAGGAGATAGTACAGGAATAAAAAATTAGTTGGTAGAAAGGAAGATATGAAGCGATTTTAATCTCTTAATTTAAGGAAGACAGAGAGTGTATACACCGACGCCATTGTGATCGATTCTGAGCCATGTCACCAAGAGTCTCCAACCATTGGTTACGATAGTCACGCGGACCCCAACCAGGCAGTCTGAATCTCCCAACATGGCTCAGACCAGAAGTTAGTGACTTCAAGCACTGATGCCACGTTTTGGTTTGGCCGCCCCTAACTTTCGTCCAATCATCCCTAACACCGGTTAGCATTGCGCGTCGTGGTAATCGGTGTTCAGGCATACGCAGAACGTGGCAGTAAGATAGTCTGAATCACTGCGAATTGAGTTATTCTTCTCTTAAAAAAGAAAATATAACATTGAGAGGGCAGAATATTAATGCAGATGAATGGCGCAATTTGAGTTAGATTTCTTAAAATACAAAAGTCTTAGTTTATAGAATAAAAGTTAATTTTCTGAAAATAAGTACTAGTGTGTCATTTATTCAACCAACAAACTACAGAAATAATGATCAGTAAATAGAAGGATTGATAATATCTAAAATAAACAAAAACGAAACTTGTTTTATTATAAGCTAGTTATTGAGTAGAATTTGCTTCCTATTTATCAGCTGGTTTAAACTTTAATCATAATGATTCGTATATCATATAAACCTTAGACGACCAGGTTCTTTTTGTATTGATATACATCGCATTTTAACAGAAACAGTTTGAAGCTAATATACTTTCTTCCTTAAATTGTTAGTGAAATACTTTGAACTCACTTTTGAATATATATACTCTTTTTCCGGTTCATTTTTGAACTCCTTATCCCATTTAATATCTCATGAAAGTACTCCAATACTACATGATAATTGTAAGTTTAATTTGGGAATATGATCCGTAAGAAATTTTCATTTTTCACAGTATTTAACTGACAGGAAACATTATTGATGTGAATGAATTACCCTTCCATTCAAATGTTAGATAACCTTTAAAAATCGGTTAATTTGATTATGCATGATATTACAGGTTGGTTGCAACTTTATTTATTGAATAGTGAAATGTATTATTATAACATTTACCATCTTATATGATGTTATTCGTTTGTAGCCTGAAGATATCCCATGGTAAAGAACACTGGTTACTGAATTAACAGTGATCACTGAATACATAATTTAAGTATGATAAATTGCTCATACAAACCATTGTTATTAATGTGACTAATAAGCATAAAGAATCATAATCGATCTTAAATAAGCACAGTTATTTATACTTGTGTACCTGAGTTTTCTATTCATTTACTTAGAATTCAACTAATCACTATATATTTATTTATCATTAGCGTTACTTTACTTCATTGACGTTGTGTCTTCACGATTGAAGTGCATGAAATTGTTACCATAGGTTTCACGCAAGCTGGCGCTCATTAGCAAGGTATGTTTTTTTTTTTCAATATTCAAAGTGTTGAGATTTTATACGATATTACTTACTTCAGCAATACTATATATTCTCACTGAACTGATGTAGTGAAAAAGTATAAATAAGAAGTCAGTAAATTTAATTATTATATTTTTTTATCGAAAGCATCTGTATTATACTGTTTTCAAACTTTACTAAATTGTGCACAATAAAGTAAGTTGATTGAATACTGCTCTAGATCAGCCAATAATCTATACTGAGAAATACAAACTAACTTATGAAACTAAATAACTTCATATATAAAACAATTATTATCAACTGCTATATCCATAGTAATATATCGTGTATTATATTTTCCAGTATCTAGTTAATTCCTTAAGATAATATCATTTACAATAATACATTTGACAACCATGAAATGAACGAAAACACTGAAAAAAATGTCCCTAGTAGAAAATAAACATGAGTAAAATTAAATCCCAACAAATCAAAAGAAAAAAAAAGAACAAAAGAAAATTTTAAATCAGTAAGCAAATAATGTTGTTATTATTAATGTTACCATAGAAAATTGATTACTTGTTTCAACTTATTTAATCAAAGTTCATCAATCATATAGATTCATTTATTCTGACAAAAAAATACAAAATAAATTTCAAACAATCACCATTTTAAGATAACAATGATGACAGGATTGTTGTTCAGGTAAAATAATACAAATCATAGGAGCTAGGACATTCGTAAATTTTTAATAAAATAAATACTGACAAAATAAGAATAGAGAAATAATGATGGTAGAATGTTAAGTGAAGTAATTTATTAATTTAGGAAGTTTGTGGAAGTGTATACAGTCATTACAATTACTTAAAGCAAATAAACTGTGATTAACAGTAGGATAGAGAATCCTTCTTTTTATTCTGTTTGAGATCCGTTTACAATGTGACTTGAATCTGACACCATTCTATGTAGACGCTCAACAAACTTTAAACTGAGCATTTAGCTCCAGATAGATAGACTAACCAGTTCAAACGATGTGATGTTTATATTATTATTGGTATGTATTTGATTGGGAAATGCATTGGGTATATAATGCAAAATGTATTGCATTCGAATCACACTGATCTAACAAACACTGATCAGAATTCATTCCAGAAATAACTCAAGCCAATTCAAATAATTACAACCATTTTTCATGTTTTCTCTTTTCTAAAATTGTGATTTAGTCATTAAATAATTGTCTGAATATTGCAAAATGTTGAAGAATGTATCAAGCAAATAAGAGAAAACTATCGACTTGTAAGCTGTTTATATGTTCAAATTATTTGATGGAATGATTTAATTCTAATGCAAGCTTCAAAATGGTTAAGGTTAAAAAAAGGACTGAAACATACTTTTTCTGAGTCCATCTATTTTCTAGAATGCTTAAGCATTGCGATTAATCAATTATATTCCTAGAGTAGAAAAGAAATGTAAAACATTTTTTGATGGTTCATTCTATTCAATATTATGTATATTTATATTTATTTTTTTGTTATTGATATGATGGAAAGAAAAGTCAAAATCCAATTGATTTATTCATTATGAGTTATGTTCAACATTACTTCCGTCTTGATTCAATTTGATGATTATTCAGTGTAGTATTCGGTTTTGTTTTCTCGTATGATATTTTATTCTGTATAATATACGATATTCTTGTAGTTTCAATAATTGAGATTATGAGTCAATTGAAGCTAGACCACCATGGAAAACCTTGTATTCAATTGACATGAACTGTACTCAGTATGTGATTTGTTATAACTGAATATTTTTTATATATGTGATTTGATCCTAATTATTAATCAAAATGTATGTACAATCGATATATAAATGAACGTATTTTCGACTAGGGTCATCGTCGTAGTGTTTCAGCGGTTAATAAATCTTCACTTTTACCAGTCTTTGTGTTGTCGTGGGAATTGTAGATGTCCCTCGTTTCCAGTATATGTGATAAGAGTTTCCAACACAACAATCGGCGATGACCAGGTATAACAAAGTAGCATTCAATCCACAAGACATATCAGTTAATTACTGTTTTTAACATAACGGATAAAAGTAAATAATATTTGAAAAATATAAAATGTTTATAATAGGATTATTCAAGTATTAAAATGATTTATTCCCTGTGAATTCTTGTTATAGTAAAATATAAGACTCATTTTGTAAATAAATTGATAGTCACTCTTAGTAAAAATTGTTCATTTAGAGACAATTTATTTTGTGTAATTAAAGCAAACAAACAAACTGCATTATCACATGATATGATAATTATATCTATTTAGTTGTTAAACATGAGTATACCACTTTTAATAATTAAGTCATGTTCAACAAAACTTATCTTGTGATATAACCAGGTATACTTTTTTTCTACAAAATACCCAGTTTTAATAACATCATTGACAAGGAGTTCGAGGCTTATTATTTTTAAGAGAAAAGTTGGAAAAAACACCAACATTTTTTTGTCAAACTGAATTAGCTAAGTGAACAGCTCTCATATGACTTTAGTCTAATGCATAGCATTTCAAACATTACCATAGAACTCTTATATAAGTAATTACTTTCATTAAAATTATTTTCATCTTAAATAAATCAATACAAACAAGAAGAGTAAGCATGGGTAGTGGCTAGCAGTGGAATCGAGGACACGCGTTTCGTCCTATTTTCGACTCATCAGCTTGATGAACCTGCATCTCAAATAGGATGAAACGCGCTTCCTGGATTTCACTGATGTCTACTATCCATATTTGCTTATAAAGCTTGTGACCTAAGGCAATATCGAGGCAATCTGCACAGGATGCACATGTGCCAACAAGAGATTGATCAATTGCAGTCCTAAATAACAGTGGGAAGTTACAAACAAACAACAGCAAGTGAATTTAAGAAGAGTAAAGGTTTTGCCTGGATAGAGAAAAGTGATTAATTTAAAAGTTTTGAAAATGTGAAAACATTGCTTTGGTTAAAAATAATTCACAGATAATAAATTAAGAATGTAAAAATTTCAAAGGCTTTTATTGACGAACATGAAATGTATGGGGTAGGATCAATGTAAAATTCTGACACTGGAAGTTACTAAATTTTATACTGTACGCCAAATATATTATTTATTTAATTTCAAGCAATTCTGACACTGGAAGTTACTAAATTTTATACTGTACGCCAAATATATTATTTATTTAATTTCAAGCAATGTTTACTATGCAATTTATAATGTAATTAATAGTCTGTAAACGTGTTTGTATTTAATGGTTTTAATTGTTCTGTGTGCTAAACGGCTTAGTTATTGAGTTTTAGCGGTTTCCTAGAAGTCATCGTAATTTTTGATGTTGATATATGATGATTATTGGTTGTCACTGTGATGCATACTACTTATATTGGCAGATATAAGTAGTGTGTAACACCAATCAGAAGTGGAATGTTTGTCAAAAAGGACCGAAATAAAGAGAAGAGTGAAAGAAAACAGAAAGGAATTGGAATAAAAACTGAGTTGGAGGAATCATAAAGGACGTAAAGGATAAGTGAAAGATGTGCAGATGATGCATTTGATGTATGATTTCCACATTTTACTAAATTACTGTAAACAATGAGTTGGTTTTCCTTCACTTCATAATCATTACTTTTATGATTAAACTATCTACCTTCAAAGACACAATACCATTAAAAATTTCCTTCTAAGCTACGTGCTGTTATAATTTAGGGCATATACAAATGATTTTATAACTATCCAGTATGTACCATAATTTATATTTTATCAAAAGTATTTAAACATTTTATATTTATTATTGTAAAACTGTTAGGACACAACTACGAGTTTTTATTGTAAAGCAGACACACTTTACAACAATAAAGTGACTGAAACGACGACTCAGTTCTCCAATTCTTTTAATTCGCTTATGAAAAATTAATAGTTATTAGATTAAATAAAACAACCATAAAACTTCCATTAAAGTATCGATGTTATAACTATAATATTCGTAAAATATGTGTTGAAAGTAGTCAGAAACTGTATAGGAAATATCATTCTCAGTCAATATTTACATCGCTTCCAATTCGTAGTTGAGTGACCTTAAGCGTAGAACTCGGGACTGATGATATAACGATGATGAACAAACACTTTTTTATGGACCAGATATTTTAGTGCTAAAACCACTTATAAGCTAGACAATTTCCAAAGTTTCCAACGTGGAATTTAAACATTATCGTAAAGCACTGAGTAGCATTACATATCTTTCCTTCTCCAACTTAGTTCTTTGTGGTGAATCTAATAGCAAGCATACCGCTACTTAACAGCTGAGTCAGAACTTAGTAATTCATGCGTTTTGTCTCAGTTATTATATTACAGTATTATATTACGCTCACTGTTCATTGTCGTTTATAATCACTCGTTTCATACCTTAATTTATTATTTCGATCATATACATAATTTAGATATTTCTTGGATTCAGCTTTCAATTATTTAACGCGTATCATGCATGTAGATATTATGTAGTAGTAATTCACATCTCAAGAATTGATTGAAATATTCAGAAATATATTTATGCTTATAGTTGATTGATCACTGGGTAGTGATCAATGTAATGTATGTCAGGTCCTTCTTAGTGCAGATCGAATCCTACTGACCAAGTTACAATGTGGCCACCAGTCTAGGTGACTCGATATTGAGTGCACTATATTGAGATAGTGCACTACTGGACAACAGATATTTGATACATGCAACCCTAATAAAATGTATTTTATAAAGTTGGTTTGTCTCTACAGAATTTCGGTCAGATAACAAATAATTTAGTGATTATATCTCTGATTGTGATACTTGAGTAAATTTTAGTTTCTACAGTTCCCTGACATGTATTTTTGATGAACATCCTCAAATATGATACCTTTGTTTAGAGAACCCTTTTGATAATTTGCAATAATATGAAGAGCAAGAACATAATTGATTTGAGCACGATTGACATGCAAAATTGATTTTTCTTTACAGTCGTCCATCACATGCATTCATTGTTGAAAGAATAATCATATCAGTTACATCTTTTTGTTATGAGCAATTAATTTTATGATACTGTGTATCCATGTCTATTCAATAAATAAATCGCTAACTAATGTCAAGTACTATTCACTTTGTTGCTTGCAATTCTGACTGATAATCAATGTAAACAATATAAAAACTAGTGTATTCAGATGTTTGTCTTCATCTGACGTTTTCATGTTCTTACTTCCGCTATCCGATTTACAGTATTCCTATTGAATTACCAAGATATATCTGTAGTTACAACACTAGAAAAATATCACAGGCTGAGTTTACTTCGCCTTTTTGAATATGCTATTTATTTCATTGATGGAATGGAATAGGAAGTAAGTAATGGAAAAAGTAACATTAATTTCTACCTAGTGATGAACTAGCATCTTTTCGTCAGTTTTGACGAGTTATAAAAAATATGAAATGAAAGAGGAAACGGTTCATTAGGCTTTTCTAAGTTTTTTAATACTTAAAGCCATAGAGTTCAGTTGACTATTAGATTTAGAATACTCGGATTCAGATAGATTTGGATAAATAACACACCTGAAGGATCAAAGTATTCGAATAATTTTAGTAACTAAACAACTTTGGATTGTGAATCCATTGGATACTTCTAATACTAGCTCACTTTGTAAATAAAATTTAGTTTGTAATTTTTGAGAATATATTTTAAGAGGGTTCATGAGTCATTAGTAAATAATATTTAGTATTAAGTGAGTGTCATTTATGAAAGTCCTAGATGAATGATGTGTTTCCATTATTAATTTAAGAGTTCAATCATCAGAAACCTGAACACTATGTGAAACGTTGTAAGTGTTCGATAACATAAAAACAATCTACATTGTTTTAAATTGATGATATTGACTAACTCAGAACAAAAATTTATTGAGAAAAATTGTTTGTAAAAGTATTTCTTTTTGAAAATTTATTAGTTTGGACATAACAGTAATTCTTTTTGTGCAATTCAAATGAAATAGCAAATGCCAATCATATATGTAAGTCGTCATATGTCTAGACTTTGTATTCATAAATATACTTGATTATATTCAAGAAGATT